AGTCACTATCTCTACCCTAGTCGGGTGGCCGGTAATATATCCCTACTGCTATATTCTTATTATTAGAGCATGGAATTACTATCCATAGAGATTCTATGGTACAGTTTGGTTCATTTAAGATTTTAACTTCATTTGATTCTATGCTTTCTTTCACGTATAGTGCCACTCCCCCACCAGCACGACCTGTTCTGTCCTTCCCATATATTTTGTACCGTGGTATTACTGTGTCCCATTGATCATCCTCATTCGTAAGGGTTAGGGTTATGAGATACAGAGATGTGCACACTTGTATAGCATGCACCTCACACACACACACACACTCTGAGGAATATAGCCGTTGTGGGATATGATGGCTATGGACAGCGAGATTGTTGGCTCAGACCGCGTAGACGACTTTGGTGGCAGGTTTTGAAAATAAATGTTTAAGTCCACATTCCATAGGGACCCAGTGCACAAAAGGCCATATGCTTATACTGTTAAGCTGTCAGGCTGTTGCATTTTGAACCAACTAGAGCTTTTTTCATAGTTAATTTCTACAGCCCAAGGCCTGGTTTGTTGTATTCGTCAAGCCTGGAGGTTATGCTGCAAATCAGTGTTGTGAAAGGAGGAAAGGAATAGAGTACCTCCCAAGGCTGTGGGTTAGCTGTTGTGCAGCAGTATTTCTGAAGATTCATGGCTTCTTGTTTTACAAATAGTGGAAGAGTGTTTGCAAAGTCTGGTTACCACTGAAGTTTATGTTTATGCTGAACGGCATAGATCCTAATGAAGTGTCTCCTTTGATTTACTGACAAAATCTTAATTAACGCAGAGTTACGGTTGCCTGGAGGTAGCTCGCCTCTTTCCAGAATGTCAAGTCCAGCAAAACTCAAACCTCTGAAATACAGAGTTAATGCACGTGCCAAGGCAATCTTAACTCGTCCTCCCTTGAGCTGGCAATAGCCACTGGGAATTATCTGCAGGCACTCCAGCTGCATTCACAGTGTTAGGTGTAGCTGTACTGAATGGTGCGGGCATTAGATAAAGCAGCTTTGTAGAGATTTGACTGTGATGTGAGGACATATGGGGATTAGTTTGAATGTGAGATCTGGGTCTGAGGCGCCCACCTTCACCCACACACATTTGATAAAAGGAAAGAAGTGTACATGTATGTTGAAGGATCCAGTATGCATCATTTCAGCAGTGAGTTGTATAGGTTGAGTCAGTAGCTGGGCACATGGGTGTTCTTACTGTGAGGGTTGTCAGTAATGAGGTGGGGTATGACAGCATTATGTGTGTCCAATGATGAGTAAGTGAAAGTATCATTTTAGATGGAATCCTGCGAATAAGGGTGAAAGGGGTGTAAAATGTAACAAGTATGGGGTTGTTTTTGGGGAGTAGGCTCAGTGTCTGAGTTTAGAACATGGATAGGTAGCTCCTGTTCAGTACAGCTCACCTACAACTAAGTCATGCCTCAGCAAAGAGAAGGTATTTGACTCTGGGCTACAGGTGCCATGTGCTCTATTCTGAGTGATATCCACTATCTGCAAAGGCAGAGTGTGAGTATGGGTGTATTAGGTCATCAGTCAGAGAGCAAAGTTAAGGTTGCATTGCTGGTGTTCTGAGGTGTGAGTTTTGCTGAACTCTGCATCCTGGAAGAGCATGAGATACCGTCAGGCAACCTTAATGCTGCATTAAGAAATTTGTCAGTTAATAGTGTATATTTGCAATGAAGAAGCAACTAAAGATTTTGTAAGGTGCAACCTTAAAGCAGTTTTCAAATAAAAAAAAAAGTTGTTACTGTTGTAAGAAATATGTGATTGTACTGTGAGGGAAGGGCAGGTAATGGCAACAAACATAAACTGAACAAGACAAAAGATATTTATCCTAGGGTAGGGTGTGACATTCCCCTCTGGTGTTATCTGGACCAGTGATCTGCTAGGTCAGTCCAGTCCTTGACTTTGGGAGCCAGCCTTACCCTGTTCTGCTGTGAGAACCCCCATTCCTGGGCTGTTCATGCACAGCCTCTGAATGTAAACTGCTCCTTGGAGTTAGGGTTAGGGGTTAGGGTTTAGGGTTAGAGTCAGGGCTAGGGTCAAGGTCGGGGTTAGGGTTAGTTTAGGGTTTAGGGGTTGGGGTAGGGTTGGGGGTCAGGGGTCAAGGGTTCGAGTTTTGGGTTAGGGTTTAGGGGTTAGGTTAGGGTTTAGGGTTGGGGTTTAGGGTTTAGGGGGTTTGGGGTTGGGGTTAGCTTAGGGTTTAGGGGGTTAGGGTTTGGGGTTGGGGGTAGAGTTTAGGGCTAGGTTTTGGGTTAGGGTAGGGGTAGGGTTTAGGGGTAGGGGTTAGAGTAAGGGTAAGGGTTAGGGTTAGGGTTGGGGGTTAGGGTTTGGGGTTGGGTTAGGGTTTGGGGTTAGGGGTAGGGTGAGGGTTTAGGGTGAGGGTTAGGCCAGGGTCAGGTTAGGGTTAGGGTCAAGGGTTGGGTTAGGGTTCAGGGTTAGGGGTTAGGGTTAGGTCAGGGTGAGGTTGAGGGTGAGGGGTTAGGGTTTAGGGTTGGGGTTTAGGGTTTAGGGGGTTAGGGGTAGGGGTTGGGGTTAGCTTAGGGTTTAGGGGGTTAGGGTTTGGGGTTGGGGGTAGAGTTTAGGGTTAGGTTTCGGGTTAGGGTTAGGTTACGGGTAGGGGTAGGGTTTAGGGTTGGGGGTAGGGTTAGGGTTTAGGGGTAGGGGTAAGGGTTAGGGTTAGGGTTAGGGTTGGGGGTTAGGGTTTGGGGTTGGGTTAGGGTTTGGGGTTAGGGGTAGGGTGAGGGTTTAGGGTGAGGGTTAGGTCAGGGTCAGGTGAGGGTTAGGGGTTGGGGTTAGGGTTCGGTTAGGGTTAGGGTCAAGGGTTGGGTTAGGGTTCAGGGTTCAGGGTTAGGGGTTAGGGTTAGGTTAGGTCAGGGTGAGGTTAGGGGTTAGGGGTTAGGGTTAAGGTTAGGGTTAGGGGTAGGGTTAGGGTTTAGGGGTTGGGGTTGGGTTGAGGGTTAGGGTTTAGGGTGAGGGTTTAGGGGTAGGGGTAGGGTTAGGGTCAGGGTTTAGGGTTTGGGGTTAGGGGTAGGGTTAAGGGGTTAGGGTTAGGGGTAAAGGGTAAGGGGTAGGGTTTAGGGGGTTAGGTTTAGGGGTTAGGGTAGGTTAGGGGTTAGGGGTTAGGGGTAGGGGTTAGGGGTTAGGGGTTTAGGGGTTAGGGGTTTAGGGGTTAGGGGTTTAGGGGTTAGGGGTTAGGGGTTAGGGTTCAGGGTTCAGGGTTAGGGTTCAGGGGTTAAGGGGTTAAGGTTAGGGGTGGGGTTAGGGTTAGGGGTGGGGTTAGGGTTCAGGGTTTAGGGTTAGGGTTTAGGGTTAGGGTTTAGGGTTTAGGGTTTGGGGTTAAGGGTTTGGGGGTAGGGGTTAGGGGTTAGGGTTTAGGGTTCCGAGGGTGGGCCCTCGGAAGTGCGATATTGCTGGAACACATCACACCGATGCCACCATCTGTTCCTGAACCTCGGAACTGGGCTCCCTGGAGAAATGACGGCACCAGCCAGTTTACACCGGCATTGAGAAATGCCAAACGACGCTGAATTAGCTTTTAGAAACTAGAGCCAAGCAAACCAACACAGAGAGAGCGAGCTGCTCTGAGTGTACCTGGCCTCTCCAGTGATTGTGAAGGCGGGGGGTGGCTCTCTCATCTCTACCCTTCTACCTCCTCGGGCTGATGGATCCTCGGCAGAGGAAGGGGATGTGGCGGCGGGGAAGATTGATGGGGGGGTTGCAGATTTTGCTAGCTTCCCTTTACATAGCAGCGAGGGGCCTGGTGTGTTTCCAGAGCTCGACCACACCCACCTTCCCGTGTCTCTCCTGCCTGCCTGCTATAATCCTCCCTCCTTGGTGGCATACGCAGACAACAGGGAGAGGTGCTGGACCACTAAACGTTGACTTCTTTGAGGGGGTCAACAAGCATGTGGAGCAAGGGGATCCAGTGGCTATAGTGTACTTAGATTTTCAGAAAGCCTTTGACAAGGTCCCTCACCAAAGACTCTTATGCAGTGGTTCTCAAACTTTTGTACTGGTGACCCCTTTCACATAGCAAGCCTCTGTGTGTGACCCCCACCTTATAAATTAAAAACACTTTTTTACATATTTAACACCATTATAAATGCTGGAGGCAAAGCGGGGTTTGGGGTGGAGGCTAACAGCTCGTGACCCCCCATGTAATAACCTTGTGACCTCCTGAGGGGTCCCAACTGCCAGTTTGAGAACCCCTGCTCTTACGCAAAGTAAGCTGTCATGGGATAAGAGGGAAGGTGCTCTTATGGATTGGTAACTGGTTAAAAGATAGGGTAGAAAATATCATGTTGCCTCTATATAAATCCATGGTACGCCCACATCTTGAATACTGTGTGCAGATGTGGTCGCCCCATCCCAAAAAAGATATATTGGAAAAGATTCAGAAAAGGGCAACAAAAATGATTAGGGGTATGGAACGGCTTCCGTATGAGGAGAGATTAATAAGACTGAGACTTTTCAGCTTGGAAAAGAGACGTCTGAGGGGAGATATGATTGAGGTCTATAAAATCATGACTCGGTATAGAGAAAGTAGATAAGGACGTATTGTTTACTACTTCTCATAAGAGAAGAACTAGGGGTCACCAAATGAAATTAATAGGCAGCAGGTTTAAAACAAATAAAAGAAAGTATTTCTTCACACAATGCAGAGTCAACCTGTGGAACTCCTTGCCAGAGGATGTTGTGAAGGCCAAGACTATAACAGGGTTCAAAAAAGAACTAGATAAATTCACGGAGGATAAATGCATCAATGGCTATTAGCCAGGAGGCGCAGGGATGGTGTCCCTAGCCTCTGTTTGCCAGAAGCTGGGAATGGGCGACAGGGGATGGATCACTTGATGATTCCCTGTTCTGTTCATTATCTCTGGGGCACCTGGCACTGGCCACTGTGGGAAGACAGAATACTGGGCTAGATGGACCCTGGGTCTGACCCGGTAGGGCCATTCTTAAGTTCTTATGACTTTTATTGGAAGTCCTCAGGAGCAGCTGCTGCTGCCCTGCTCCCATATAAACTGCGCTCTGTGCTCCCAGCCCATCAGAGCGCAAGGTAAGGGGAACACCTGTGAGGGCAGCGCCCCCAGCCCCTGCAGCTGTGCTGTTAACTGAACTACAGAGTTGTTTGGGTGCATCATGGGGCTGGAGAAGCAAGTGTTGCTATCCCCGTGTTGTTCAGAAGAGATGCAAAGGCAGGGATTTGGGGCTGTTCCTTACATAGGACATTAGCCAGGCGTTGTTAATGTTAGAGATGGCATAGACTGGGGCAGGGGCAGGGACTGTCTCTTTATTCCCTTTGCGTACAGCGCCTAGCACAATGGGGTTATGGGCCATTTGCTATGATAATTCAGATAATAAATCAGTGTTCTGCATTGCAAGGCCCGCGAGCCAGTGGCGGCTCCCATCGACCCTAAGTGCGCTAAGTTCCCTCTAAGCTGCGCGGCCACGGAGCTGGCTATAACTAGCCGTGCAGCAGCTCTAAAGGGCCACGCGGCAGGGACCTGAAGAGGAGAGAGGTAGGGGGTGGGCGGGAACTGGAGAGGGGAGCAAGTTGGGGCTTGCAGGGCTGCTGTGGGCCTCTCCCCGGGACCGGAGCTCCCTGCTGCCGGCAAGGGGGAGAGAGGGCCCTTCTCCGGAGCTCCCTGCTCCCTCCCTGTCGGTCTTACTGCTGGGGGGAGTCCTCTGGCCCCAGCCCTGGGGCAGCCTGCCTGCACCCCAAACTGCTCATGCCTGGCCCCACCCTAGAGCCTGAACCCCCAGCCAGAGCTCTCCCCCCGCATCCCAACCCTCTGCCCCCGCCCTGAGCCCCCTCCTGAACCCCTCATCCCTGGCCCCACCCCACACCCCAACCCCAACCCTCTGCCCCAGCCCTGAGCCCCTCCCACACCCCAAACCCCTCATCCACAGCTCCACCCCAGACCCCTCAGCCCCAGCCAGAGCCCTCACCCCCCACCCCACCCTACCCTGGGCCACCTTCCACAGTCCGAACCCCTCGGCCCCATCCGGCTCTCACATTGAAGGTTTTTTCCCAAAGTGGCCCCCACTTCAAAGATAGTGAAGAGCACTGTAGTAAATAATAACATATAACAATTTGCTTAATCTAGATAAAAATACCCAAAATGCTGGGGCTTCCACCACTTTTTAGGGAAACTTTCCTGGCAAATAGCCCTGCCTGGAGTGCCTGCCTGCCCACTCCCTAAATGTAGCTGTGTTACAGGTTGTCCCTCTGTGCCCGATCTCTGTGGGTTGGTCCGCCCCAGCAGTGGAGTCTGTGCTCATTAGCAAAAGCTCCAGCGTTTATCTCTGCAGGTCCCTGTCTGATCGTTGAGGTCAGTCGAGATGGTGACCTCACACAAGGATAATCTGGGGTGGTCCCTAAAAGCCAGGACTTGTCCGAGCAGGGGTTAGGTTGCCCAGACTGTTGCTATGACTCGTATGGCCGTACTGGTGGGGGGGGGGGCGGGGGGAGAGGACGGAGGGGGCGGGGTTGGTGGCTGCATCAAAGCCTGGGCAGAAAGAGGTGCATAAAAGGGTGTTCACCTTGTCCTGGTTAACCAGCTGCGTCCCCTACTTCCCCCCGCCAGGCCCCCAGAGAGTACGAGACCAGCCCTGAGCAACTCTTCTACCGCATCGCCCACCTCAACCGCGGGCAGCAGTACATGCTGTGGGTGGCGGCCGTGACCTCGGCGGGTTGCGGCAACATCAATGAAAAGGTCACCATTGAGCCTGCTGGGAAAGGTGCGGCAGGGCCTGTGGGGTGAGGTGGGCAGGGGGGCAGTGGGGCTGATTGGAGGGGAGCTGGGTCTCTCTCTGGGTAACAGAGTCCTGGGGGGAGGGGCAAGGTCATCTGGCATTTAGATTGGGCTCAGTGTAGAGCCTGGGGGGCCCACTGCACACTCTGGATCCAGGCTCGGGTTTGACACGTGCCCTGGTGCTGGCTCTGGGTTGGCCCCTCGTCTCCAGGACTCGCCGTAGCCAGCACCTCGCGATGCGCCGGCTACTCCGACTGCCGTTGGCTTGGAGCAGGTTCTGCGGCATGGACAAAGGTGGTGAATCTCAGCCCCTGGTGCAGCAGGGTGGGGTCTGCACTGGTGGGATAGGCAGGCTCTGTGTGCGTGGCTCGTCCGGCCAGACTGACGTTCCCTTCCCCCCACAGCCCCAGCCAAGATCATTTCCTTTGGCGGCACTGTCACCACTCCGTGGATGAAGGACGTGAGGCTGCCGTGCAGTTCGGTTGGGGAGCCGGCCCTTGCCATTAAATGGACAAAGGACAGGTAACTAAAGCCTACCTTTTCCCCACCGTGCAGCCTCTCGGGAGGAGCCCTGATCCTGTGGCAGGGAGGTGGCAAAAGCGAAAAGCTCCAGAGGTCCTTTTTCCTGGAGGAGCTGACCTTTTGTTTGGGGGCTCTGCCTGGCCTTTGGCCTGTGGAATGGAAGAGTGGCCAGGCAGCGCTACATGCCATCTGGGCAGCTCTTGGGCTCCTGGGGCAACACGCTCTGGAGCCCCATCTATGTGCTGGGAGCTTCTTGCTGCTGGGAGGCGCGAGTAGGGATTTATGCTGATGAGCTGCTGGCATTTCTTGTTCCTTGCAGTGAAGATTCTGCCATCCCGGTGGCGGTGGACGGGCACCGGCTGATCCAGGCCAACGGCACAGTGGTCCTGCGCTCAGTGAAAGCAGAGGATTCTGGGTATTACGCCTGCACCACCACCAACACCTGGGGCTTTGATACCATCATCAACCTGCTGGTGCAAGGTAAGGGCTGTGCCAGTCTGGCGTGCTCTGCCCTGCTCTGCCTTTGCCCATCCTTACAAATCTGCTTGTTGCTGGAAATGGCTGGACAGAGATTTTATGCAGATGCATCTCGGCCACTGGGGTTGTTCATACAGCTCATCAGAGCTTGGAATTAGTTGTTGGAGCTCTGTGATTGGCCACTTAAGTCACATGCAGTTGTTTCAGTTCCCCGATGGGGCAGCCTTCCCTTTTATATAAACGACTGTTGCCTGAAGCCAATCGCACTTTGTCATGAGTCAAGTTTTGTTTTACAATTAAATGAGTTTTGTCCATGGGCCTGAGAATTGCTTTCCACAAGCCCATCCAAACACCGCTTCACCCAGGGGCTGGGGGTGGACTGCCATGTGTGAGCAGCTGGGTCTGCTTTGCCACTGGGGCTGCAAAGCCAGATGGAGGCAGATGGTCTCAAAGAGGGAAGGGCTAGTGGCTTTGGAGCTCCGGATGCTAGCACATTAGGGCTTAGCTTCTGGAGATCCAGATTGGCCTTCTGAGGATTAATGATGAGTCTGTTACGCAAGGTGCAATGGCGTGCGTCCTTGTTTCAAAGGAGACCCTTGTGTGGCTCCCCTGGTGCTCAGTTGCTGCTGGAGATGCCTGGCTCCCTGAGGGCTATGCTGGCCCTGGAGCCGGACCCCCACGCAGGTGGCTCTTGAGGTCTGTGAGCGGTTGAAGGGCGGCAGGGAACTGAGAAGCAGCCACAGCCCTGGGACACCAACCAGCACAAGGACAAAATAGGGGAGCATTGTGGCTGCCCACATCATTGCGCCACCTAGCGCAGCAGTCGTCCCACCCTGCCTGGCTCTGGCTTCCAGCTTCTGGCCTCTGAGCTGGTGAAGGGCTGGAGCCTCTGAGGTGGGACTTGCACTTCAGTGAAGAAGAGCCACAGAGAGGGGCAAGGCCTGGTGGTGGAGGGTGGGGATG